TCACCCGCGAAACTATTTGTTGGCGGTGACGTAGGAATCCCGTCTCGCGGGGCGTCGGGCGGAGCAACGCGCGTTCCGAGGCATCGGGCGTGGCCACAAGCGTAATCGACACATGCCTCGAAGCGCGCTTCGCAGATTTTCTTCCGGTTTACTCGGCACACGCATCGGAGCCTCGGCACAGTCGGGCACATCACTAAGAAACAGCAACAATGAGCTGACACCGAGCGGTCGGGCCGGGAGTCTTTCTAACAGAAAACCTACTAATGACTTGATGACCAACAGGTGTGCCACTGTAGGAGGAGCCCTACAGAGCCACCTGTTGGTCCCGAACAAATCAACTGTGACATCTTGGTCATTTATCATCTGTAAATAAGTTATTTTGCCATCCAAAACACAATTTACTTTTTTTTTTCTTTTTTATGAAAAGAGAAGGATTGTTGAAATCTTAGCGTGACAGTCACTGTTGTGCAGAAACTACATTCTTTCACAAAAAGTTGGTTTTCTCCTTATTTTGTCAGAGAATGGTGATTTGAGTGAAACCAGGCTATTTTCAAATGGTGATCCCGAAAGAACAGAATAAGGTAGAGCAAAACCTTTTTCCTCTGCTTAATAAGCGGAATCCAGTCTTTCATTTGGTCCATGTCTAAACAGTATTCTGCTGGCCTTGAAAGATGACTTAAAATGCTCGAAATTGGCTGTCACTTCAAGGGTTGTCTTTTCGAGTTTGTATGTATCTTTCACCATTCATGGTGCCTTCACAGACGCCATTGGGACTAACACAGGCCCAAACCACCACAGATGCTGGTTTTTGTACATACTGTACATACTATAACTGTCCTAATGATTCTTTTCCTCTTTGACCCGGAGGACACGATGTCCACAGTTTACAAAAACAATTTGAAATGTGGACTCGTGAGACCACAGAACACATTTCCACTTTGCAACAGACCATCCCAGATGAGCTCGGGCCCAGAGAAGCCCCTATCGTTTCCGGGTGTTGATAAATGGCTTTTGCTTTGCAGAGTTGAGTTTTAAGTTGCGCATATGAATGTGTTGATCTGTATTCACTGACATTGTTTTTCTTAAGTAGGTGCGGCATGGTTATCAACTGGTTAGCGCGTCCGCTTCGGAGGACAGAGGTTCAGGGTTCGATTTTCAGGCTCCCGTAAATTCTTTGCAATTGTATGTTGAGAAACATTGTCTTACACTGTTGGACTATTTTCTCATGCAGTTGTTCACAAAGAGGTGAACATCGCCCCAACTTGGCAAAATGCTTGGCAATGAAAGAGTTAAAAATACCTTGAAATCATGAAAGTATCAGATCGATAAGGTCAATCATGCTTTGGTGTGCAATGCGAGATGTGCAAGGAATTGGCTTGATGTCACCATTTTACACACAACCTTAAGTCACAGTTTTAAAAAAATTGAAATAATAACATAATAACAGTGCAACATAAATCAAACATGCAGGTGTTAAATATGACACACGTTCAACTACTGGTACCACAAACGCAATGCATCTTGAGAACCTAAAAGGAAAGTTATTTCAGGCCGGCCCGCGAATAGCAAAAATCAGCATATAATTGAAAAAAAAATTTTTTATGCATTGCATATGTTTTACAATAAAATTGGCATCCTCCTCAAAAAAATCTGTATTGGCCAGAGAGAGAGTGCGTAGGTCTGTCGAGGATTCGGGAGAAGCAGCTGTCAGTCATATCAACTGAGGCATTATGTGCAGGTGTGTTTGCTCTCTGCTCAGACAAGGCAAAAAAAATAAATAAAATTTAAAAAAGGCACAATTGACCCATTACTGGATAGTGGGGAGAGGGGAGTATGGACTGTATATTGTCCAAAAAGAACTTAATGTAACGATTTGTTTCATGACACCACGTTTGCTAATCAGCTCCTAGCTTTGTAGTTCACAAATGTAGCATGAATTGAAATGCTTCATATACTGTCGGGTATTCCCCATTTGTTCTGTCACTTTTTAAATACTGTACACTACATTGTGAAAGTGTGCGCCATGGTCCAGTCTCTCGTCACAAGTAGGTGGGCACTGATTTCCTATTAGTCAAATGCCACATGATATTGCTCAATCTCCATCATGAAGCCATTTTATGTCTTGTGCATTTAGGACTATCGCGTGAACATCTTCCTTCGTCAACAGTGGAATGACCCAAGGCTCGCCTATGCAGAATATCCAGATGACTCTTTGGACTTGGACCCCTCTATGTTAGACTCCATTTGGAAGCCAGATCTGTTCTTCGCCAACGAAAAGGGTGCACACTTCCATGAGGTCACAACAGACAACAAGCTGCTGCGGATTTTTAAGAATGGAAATGTTTTATACTCTATAAGGTAGGTTCCAGAGTGACTGTGTACATCAGATACCAAACAGGATGAGAAATGGTCCAACAAACCATCAGCAACCTTTCAGTTCGAGCAAACACATTATATAATGTACAAACTAAAATACGTTAAAACCAATAAATATAAATCATAAAAAGGTCAAATAAGTTAAATATAAAAATCGCCCCTTTTAGACAAATGGGGAGCTAAACCAAGTTAGTAATTAATCAAGCTTCTAAATTAACTTGTTTGATTACAAGCCAAAATGGCTGGGGACTTTGTAAAGTCAGCCAATCAGAATTTCCACTCGCCATTTTTTTTTTTTTTTAATTTACGTTACGATTATGTTTTATGTTAAACTTTAGCTCAGCTGTTTTTATCTCCCTCCCTCACACTATCTCTGTTCTCATGCTGGTTGCACTGTAGAGTCTACAGAGTCTAGAGTGCAGCTAACAGGCGGATTAAATGTCATTATGTAGCAGTACGGCACAGTATTTAATGGAAATTTAGGAGTCACTGCCAAGGTTACAAATGACTGAGAACAAAACATAGCGTAAAGCAACAATAAAAATACCAAACATTTATTTATAAATATACTGAGAATTATTTATATGTAGGGTGTATTAGTTCCACTAGTCACTCTTAAGTTGTCCAAAGGTGTGATGGTGAGTGCCAATGGTTGTTCGTCTGTGTGCCCTGCCATTGGGGGCAACCAATTCAGGGTGTACCCCACCTGCTGTACGAAGACAGCTGGGATAGGCTCCAGCACCCTTGTGAAGATAAGCGGATTAGAAAATGGATGGATGGATGGTTCCACTAGTAGAGGCACTATGGTGAGGAGTATCTAGATGGGGGAGGGGGGGGCATAGAGCAGTGGTGCCCACACTATTTCAGCAAGTGAGCTACCTACTTTATCTATCTATCCATCGATCTATTTATTTCAAACGATATACATATATATTGGTGGAGCTTGAAAAACTGCAAAACATTTTGTGTACATTTTATGTCCTTAGTTTACTCTGATGACTCGTGCTGGTCAAGGAACTTCTATAACAAACACCATCTTCAAACATGAGGGGTCCATATGTGCACTTGACAGCAGGACACCCGAGGCCGCAGTTGCGGACGCACGTGTTGGACACTTGAGTAAAGAGGGGCGGAACTATCAACTGCGAGTGCTTTTCTGAAGAAAGTCGGGACAAGGAACAAGTGAACAATCGTAAAACAAACATCTTACCTGAAAATTAGTTCTTCAAGCAGCACCCCAAAAAGTCGGTTACACCACATCGGCATTTTGACATTGCTCGGTTACCTCCGGGGCACATCAACGCATCGGTCGTTTTTCGCGCAGTAGGGATGGATGCCGCAGACAATATTATTTCTGGGTATGGTACCACCGAGTACCGATTCTCGTGATATCAAACGGTGCCATGTTTCAGTTCTGAAGCGCGTCTTTCTATGTTTAGAAACAACTTGCTAGCTTTGTGCCGTCATCGGGATGCGGCTCAAAAGGGGCATGTTGTATTGAGGTACTTACCGATATTCATATTTGTGGACTTGTGTGTTGACAGCTAAAATTGTTAGTGAGGGAAGAGAACCCTTAATACAAAAAAACAATGTGTCTGCACATGAGAAATTCCAATCCCTCAAATTACTCTGCAGATAAAAGCAAAACATTTTGACATGAATACTAGTACATTGGGGTGCGCATTAAACATAAGTATCGAAAAAATGTATTGAATGGCGATTTTAGGTGGCATATTGCATTCAAGAGTGTTTTATTCTTGAGAAATTTACTTATTAACATCATTTTGCAGTTGGAAAGCCAGTGCATTCTATTTGTTTCCATTCAAACACAATAACAGTGGGTCATCCATGTGAACACAATTCATCATTCATGATTATTATGTCATACAAGTAATACTGTTCACAAGTAATTCGCTTCCAAATTCAATGCTTAAAGCTTTAGTGTAAATCCTTCAAGCTTGAGTGTAACTTTTTTTATATATTTTCACCCAGGCCTTGTTTTCAGCTGACAGTTAAACCCTGTTCGTGTGTTTGACTTTCTTCTCACTCCAGCTCTTTTCTGTGTGCTTTCAGATTAACGTTAACGCTGTCATGTCCCATGGATCTAAAAAACTTCCCCATGGATGTTCAGACGTGCATTATGCAGTTAGAAAGCTGTAAGTACTGGATACGATTACAAATGCAGCACTTTGAAATATTCTTCAGTACAAGGCTTCATTTTGATACCTGTAAAACGATTCCTTGTCACTGTTAAATAATTTGCAACATTCAGTCAGTTTGGTCAACATGTATTGCTCCTCTTGTTGAAAATGTTTGTTTCTTGCTTTTGTTTAAACCCCATGATCTGACTGTATTGTCACTGGCTGGCTGTGACTGTAGATGTGTCATTGTTTGAGACAGATGTTTATTATTGGTGTAGAATTTATTTTTTTTAATTATAATTTTTTTTTGAGGGTGGGTGTCTAGCTGTTGAATAGGCAGCTGAAAAGAAAATAACCATCATGAAATGTTATGGGAAGTTCAATGAAAATTCCAACATTTTCTGCTGCAACAGAATCATTTTAAAAATAAGAGTCATAAGTTATGGAACTGGCTTTCACGAGTAGGGTTTGTCGTGGCAGAGTGGGACACTATTACTGGATGTTGCAGTTCTTTTGTCTTAACGGTTCAGTGCATCGTTGGTGACTGTGTAGGCTTCTGAACATTGTGTTGACCAGAGATGGGGCACTTTACACTATTTTGCCAGACCGTTCTCCGTCTGCGACCTGGGCACCCTTCCAGTATCATCCCTCCTTATTCATAAAATAATCATCCTCCGTCCCCGTCCGTCTTTGTCGTTTTAAAGTGCTTCCCTCACTTACATTTCACCAGTCCGTCCACCCCGCCTCAACTTGTGGTGAGACTTATAATTTTCTTGGCTCTTGGGTTCGCGATGCACACCACCACGTGTGGCAGGTTTTTCCGTAACAAATCAGCAGCTTGGAATATATAAGATTGAGGCCCTTCTCTCCTCTGAAGGCCACAAGTGGAACACATGGTGGCCCTGACAGGGCTCCTAAAACCACACTGGGTACGAGCCACGAGAACCATGCCAAGCTTTTGTTTTTCCTGGTTCCTGCCTCCCTTTTCACCATCTTTTTGATTCTTAACTTCATCTGAACACAAGTCCAAGTTCTGTCCACTGCTCATAATGTGAGACTGTGTGTGTATGTGTGTGTGTGTGTGTGTGTGTGTGTGTGTGTGTGTGTGTGTGTGTGTTTGGATCAAAGTAACAATTTCTAATTTTAAACCGAACTCCATTTTTTTTCAATTGTGGCCCTTCATATTTAAAGACTGATTTAATGAATTTTTTCATCATTTCAACAATCCAAAAAATAGATGTGGTGCCCCAAGTGGTGATTGGGGTAAGTGCAGCCCAACACTAATTTGCCAAAACACATTCTCACAATCAACTACAGCCATGATGAAAGTTAACTTCTGACTAAACCAAGGGAAAAAGAGATAAGCAAGACTTCTAACGATATTTAACCCCTTGTGGATGTGACCCCAGGAGGTTTGTGTACCCTTTTGTTGAATCGATTGTCTTCATAACTTTTGTCTTTCATTTGTTTTGTAATGCCATTTGTACTTACCGGTATATGTTTCATATCTGTGTTTGTGACCAGTTCTAACGCGTTGCGCACAAATCAACCCTGTATTTTTATGGACTTCATGCCATGCGTCATGCTACATCTTGAGGGAGCTACATATGGATCAAGATTCTGATTTATTGGACGTAGTATTATAAATGTTTCATAAAGTGCTTTGTTACAGCTGCAGCGGTTGTGATGGTACTATAAAAAGAAAGCTTAATTGTATTGTATTGTATACCTTTTAGCCTAGCTCTAGCTAGTGGATGCATAGCACAACCACAGCCACTATTGCAGCTTCTATTATATGTGCCTTATAATGCAGTGCACCCTATATATAAAAACAGTTTTAACATAGGCCATTCATTTAAGGTGTGCCTTATACGCTGCGGAAAATATGGTAATTGTTAATTCTCTTAATGCACATTTCTCAATATGTCATTCCTATGACTTGCTGAAATAATTTAGCATCACTGTCTTCTCCCGTAATGGGGCCATGATCAAAAGGAGCCATGTGGTTCCATCAGAAAATCATATTCATAAATTGGCAACCTAATTTCTGTGAAGGCACAGCATGACTACATGAAGGATCCAATTATTTGTCTTCAGTGATATTTCTGCTTTAGCCCTCTAACCGCAGCTTTTACCATCCATAGATGAACTCATCATAAATTATGTGTGTATGAGATTATTTTTATCTGAGATGATGCAGCTCACTCTGATGGAATGATGCTGAGCATAGGACACACAACAACACACACATACAGAACATACTCATTCGTGAGAAATTTGATTTTGCTAACTCCACTTCCACTTTAATTATAATAAGAATTCATGCATACGGAGTCGTCAAAATTGCACATGGCGTTTTGGAATTGGTTTAAAGGGTTTGTGTTTTTGTTGTGTTCTCTGGCAGGGTGGTGTGTTTTTTTATGAATGAACTTGCTCAGGCAAGTGAGTTATTTAGTTGTAATGTCATGATTTCATAGTTGTTTGCTCAACATTACCAGTTTAAAAAAAATCAACAACGATTTGTAATATGTGATGTGATAACACCAGAATTAAATGACCTCCCAGGCTAAGTACAGACACACTAGTAGTGACGATGGTCTCCACTGTCTTTTGTATTTTGTTTTCGTTTTCTTTTTAGGTTTTGGTAGTGGGAGGCTGTCAGCGCACATACTCTTTTAAAATACTTATCTGCACAGACACGCACACACACACACACACACACACACACACACACACACACACACACAATAGAACCTTAAGAAACAAAAGCCAACTACATCTTTTGTGGATGGCTTTAGGCATGTACCAGCTTTTAGCAGCTGTTCCGCTTTTTAAAAAAATGCTCCAGAAAGCATTGGCTTAATACCATTTCTGAAAGCTTTCACCTATTGCGCAGCTTCACTGGTTTCTTTTCCTACTCTTTACCATTTTTAATCTTTATCAAGCAGAGTCATCCTGGTCAGAGCGTAATCATTTAAATGATTATGTCAGTATAAACATAGCAGCGTGTTTAATCTCTCTCCATCGACTGAATACAGATGCAGCTTGAAAAGAATTACTTTCCTCATCACAGTAGGCACGACAGTCGCATATGGTTTCAGCATACATGTTAACATATAGTCAATGTTTAGTTTAGCTCTATAGTGAAGGAAGGATTTTTTTTTGTCATGCATACAACTGTGAGAACAGCCCACATGGGTTTATGAGCCACCAAACAAATAATTCAAAACCATCAAACTAAAACAACCATTTCATCTTTCTAACCAATAAAACGTGTCCGAGTAATGCCGTATAATATTGTTACTGTAACAGTAAATCATCACGGAGTGTGTAAGACAGTAGAAAAGAGAGATCGACTTTCCTCGTCATTCAAGTCGCAGATTTCAGACAACCTGTTATTTTCAGTTTTGGTTTTAACAAGACACTTTGAAAACTTTTTGGCTCCGTTCAGACTGCAGGCATATCTCATTCCAAACAGTATGCCATTCATTGAAGGTGCGCCTTATGCTCCGAAGCACCTTAAAGTCCAGAAAATACGGTAGCTCTAATTTATCATTATTTAGAATTGAGAAATTGATGCAATTGTCTGAAGAGTACCTTCACTTTCATTTTAAATATAAACATTTGTTTACACCATGCTGTATGTTTTTTTGCACACAAATTAGCAGACCACACACATGCAGATATATAAAAGCAAAGTGACGGTGTGCACAACTTGCGACTTGCACCTGACCTGAGTGTTCATTGCCTTGCCGGGGGCACTCTAACAGTCGTCAGGATGCAGACAAGCATCTTTCCAGCCACGAGTTACGATGTATCTCGTCTGCAACAGAACTCAAACTTCTGGTTCCGAAAGCCAAGTCCTTACAGATGAGCTCCTAGTACCCAGCCCCTTAAATGAAATTCATTTAACCTGTGTTTTTTGGATTGCCTTTTACAGTTGGTTACACCATGAATGACCTGATCTTTGAGTGGCAAGAGAATGGACCGGTCCAAGTGGCCGAAGGACTGACGCTCCCACAATTCATCCTTAAAGATGAATCCGACCTCAGATACTGCACCAAGCACTACAACACAGGTAACACACACACCCATACATCAAAAAATATTTTACTCATCAAGTTGAGGTGGGATCCTGGAAAAAAGTAATACGGGAAGTTTCTTATTTATCCCGAGACATACATTACCAACCCAGTCGCTAAATAGAGAGACAATTTCTATTTTCAAGAATTTCAGTTAGTTCAATGATTGTACTTAAAACACAGTTGTACTTTTGAAAGTATTCCTGAGTGCCTCTTGTCACTCTCTCGCTGTCAAGAAATGGAAAACTATCGCTGTTTTATTGGTCACGCCCAGTTGAAGTTTCCTGTAACACCGAACGCATAAAGAAGAGAATTGAATATTCGGAAATTATCAATGGATGTTACGGTTAACGATAAGTGTTCAAACAATTACTACTCTAACGCACAGGCTGCAGCATCAAATAGAACCAGAGCATGCACCAAAACTCACGGGTATATATTCTGTCTGCTCTGTGGGAAGATTGATTTAACTGTTGGCTATTACAATATTGGGGCCCTTCTCTGCCCCTTCTTGAAGTTATGACTCAGCATCTCAACTATTAGACTTCACTGTTGCATGGCAGGTTGTGACACAACACGGCACTACACTGAGGGCCAAATTCACTCAAAGATTGCGTGATTTTTTTCATGGTGCCCTTCAGTAAAAATGGCGTCTAATCCACAAAGCACGCACAGATGGTGCAATGCGCCAGTAACTGAGAGATCAAGTAGAAGGCGTCTCGGTGCGCTGTTGGTATTAGCACTTATTTAAAGGGAATATGCCTATATTTGGCCGAGAAATTTCCCATCTCAATGCAAGTGAGCCTCATTGATAAACGTCTAATTCACTAAAGCCACCGCTAATAGCCACACCCAGTTTGAGTGACAATAATAAGGCCAACAAAAAGCTGGAGTAAAACCAAGATCGGGGCGAAGTGCCGCACTCACTTCAGCCACCATGAACAAGATGTAAAGGGAGGAGCTAGAGGTCAAAATAGATGACGAATACTTTGGGACAGACTCTCGAGTGGTTCTAGGTTATATTAAAATGAAGCCAAGCGATTCCATGTCTTCGTCGCAAATCGGCGTTCCTCTCTGGAAGGTTCATTCGCCAACATTCCAATGGTAATGGAAGCAGCGATTGCAGCATGGAGAAGGCATCACCATGCAAAACATGCTCGTAAGCAAATATTTAGAAGGAGAAAATCACTTTTTGAATTTACTTTTTGAAACCATTCGGAGATACAAGTTGTCAAGTCAAGGAATTGTTGACGTACTTAATGATATCAAGGACAACATTGGGCCTGCCAGGCCAAGGTCCTATGCAATACCTGGCGCTTTAAAACTTCTCTCAACGCTTAAGGTTCTTGCATCTGGCTTATTCGGGACACCTATCCCTGGTGTGTTTGGCCTATCAGAATCGCCCATCGGCAGTGGGAGATTTAACAGCAACCTGTCGTAGGTAGACACATCACATTTCCACAAAATTGACTGGAGATTAAAGGGACAAAACCCTTTTTTAATGTCGCTGGCTTCCGTAATGATGTGGGTCCGATTGTTTGTCAGCAGGAATGGACAGCCATTTTGCAACGATATCAACATCCACACAAACGTGGTTACCAAGCTCCCTGGATTTGTGCATGATAGCTATATTTTTAGGAACAGCATTCTGTATTGAATGGTGCAAAACACGGATAACAGCCGGATAACTACTGGGTAAGACACAGATTTTGAGACGTTTGTGCCATAATGTTGATCGCAAAGGTGTTGGAAAACATGCTTATTTATAATATTAAAGATTACAGCGGCTTCCAACTGCAGGTGTGGATGATGACTCTTGTGCGTAACTCAACAATTGATAGTGTGATAGTGAAGAAGCTTGCCACCAGGCACATATCAAAACAAGCAGCGGTGATTGAGCGCACTTTTGGAATTCTAAAAAGCAGATTCCGATGCCTGGATCCTAGCAGTAGAGAAATGCAATCCAATACCCTGCAAGTGTGCCAGATTACAGTGGAGTGCTGCATCCTCCACAACGTAGTAATCAGAGCTGCCCTTCATCTTGAGGAACTGCAAAATGTCCAAAGTCCTTGAAGCAGATGAAGGGAACGAACCTGCCCCACAACCTCATTTGCATGCAGACGAATTAGGCGGGAATGTCAGACAGAACATTAGTCAGCATTTCTTCCAATAGCCCATCAGTCGGCATCCCGCGGCTCCGGAGCCTCATGCGGCTCTTTCATCCTTATAATGCGGCTCTGATTGGCTTGGGAAAATAAATTACTAAAATTTTTTTTTTTGTATTTAATTGAAGTGTGTTTTATTTGTGTTAGTTTTTATATTATTTTAGTTCTAAATTTGAAGATTATTGTGATCTTGAAATATTAAAATATTTATTAAATTATTTGATATTATTTTTTCGTCGCTCAAAATAGACGTCACACTGCGGAAGCTGGTATACCCGCTGAAACGGCGTCTATTTTGAGCGACTTTCAACCCCGGCAAAGCCAATGGAGAAATGTAAGAAAAGAAAAATATCTCAAGAAAATAGAACATTCAATGATGCCTGGGCAGATTCATTTGCATTTACCTCGGGCGAGAGTGGCCTACCAGTATGCCTAATTTGTGGAGAAAAACTGGCTAACAATAAACGGTCAAATGTCGCAAGACATTTTAACAATACACACAGAGCCTTTGCTGAAAAATATCCAGAGGGAGAAGAGAGGAAAAAAGCTGTTTCGGAACTGATGCAGAAGGCTGACCGGACGAAAAATCAATTCAAGAAGTGGGTGAAGTCTGCAAATTCAACTACATATGCAATTAAGTCCGAAATCACAGGTCCGACCCACTGAAACACATTGACAGCTGTGGATACTGATCAAGCCCCGTTTAAGGTTTCAAAAGCTTGAATTCTTCAGCATCTTTTTACAGCTGTCCCAAAATTGAGTTGAAAAAAAAATATTAACCTTTGGTTCTAAAGCAGTCAGGGGTTTAGATGAAGGTTTGGCTTCCACGCAGGGCCTGAAATTTATTGTGATAAACTAGAGCATCAGTCGGCATCCCGCGGCTCCGGAGCCTCATGCGGCTCTTTCATCCTTATAATGCGGCTCTGATTGGCTTGGGAAAATAAATTACTAAAAATTTTTTTTTTTGTATTTAATTGAAGTGTGTTTTATTTGTGTTAGTTTTTACATTATTTTAGTTCTAAATTTGAAGACTATTGTGATGTTGAAATATTAAAATATTAATTAAATTATTTGATTATTTTTTTTCGTCGCTCAAAATAGACGTCACACTGCGGAAGCTGGTATACCCGCTGAAACGGCGTCTATTTTGAGCGACTTTCAACCCCGGCAAAGCCAATGGAGAAATGTAAGAAAAGAAAAATATCTCAAGAAAATAGAACATTCAATGATGCCTGGGCAGATTCATTTGCATTTACCTCGGGCGAGAGTGGCCTACCAGTATGCCTAATTTGTGGAGAAAACTGGCTAACAATAAAGGGTCAAATGTTGCAAGACATTTTAACAATACACACAGAGCCTTTGCTGAAAAATATCCAGAGGGAGAAGAGAGGAAAAAAGCTGTTTCGGAACTGATGCAGAAGGCTGACCGGACGAAAAATCAATTCAAGAAGTGGGTGAAGTCTGCAAATTCAACTACATATGCAAGCTTTGTGGCCGCTCAGGAAAATGTGTTCATTACATCGGTAAAATTTAATTTTCTCCGTAGCACTTCATAAGACATAACCACACTATAGTTGTTTATACAAAGTGTAAAGGTAAGAAAAAGCAATATATACAGTGTTATCTTCATTTTAGATAAGATAAATGGATATAAGGATGACGCCTCATGGCATTTTTCTGCTTTCGTTTGCTACATGGACAATTTAAATTCAGCTTTTTAATTTATTTGAAAGAGACATTCATTGTTATTATTTTTCAAGAATTCAAAATGTTCAAAATGTGTTCATTAAATGAATAAAATGTAATTTTCTCTGTAGCACGTGGATTTCATAAGAAACATGCTGCGGAAAGTAGTAGAAGTTTTTTTTTTTTTTCATTTTAGATGTGCGGCTCCCGGTGTTTTCTTTTCCGTGGAAACCGGGTTCAAATGGCTCTTTCGGTGTCAAAGGTTGCCGACCGCTGCAATAGCCCAATCGCTGCATTGTGTTTTCATTTCAGCTGATTCTGAAAGTTGTCTTTAAATGCTGTCAAGATGCCGAGGAATCAGGAGGTCCAGGATGGTGGTTTCGAAAACGCACTACAGACAAATTAAAGCAACTTCTTCTTTTGTGCGAACACTTGGGAAACACAAATGTTGACAAAAATGATTCAATAACTTCTATTAAATGTAAAACATGAAAAAAATAGCAAAAAGTAAAAGGCAGTCAGGACAAATGGTCGAAATTGGCAATAACCGCAGCTGCATGCCGTCTGACAAGCAGCATTAGATTAGATTAGATTAGATATCCTTTATTTGTCCCACACTGGGGAAATTTACAGCCTTCAGCAGCAAGATTGTGGGTAGAAAGAAGAGAAAAGAAAACACAGTTCAATTAAGTGCAATATAAATACAAACATGGATAAGGTCAATAATTAAGTGCAATATAATACAATAGTCACAGTACTATTCACATTTGTTGTCATATCATTTAAATAATTTTATGATTTATTTATTTATTCATTTTTTTATTCAGCAGCCTGACAGCAGTCGGTAGGAACGAGCGGCGGTATCTCTCCGTCTTGCAACGCGGGTGTAACAGTCTCTGACTGAAGGAGCTACCGAGTGCTGTCAGGGCTGGCTGGAGGGGGGGGGGGGGACTGTCCAACATAGCTTTTAGCTTAGCTAGCATCCTGCTGTTGCCCACCTCCTCCAGAGTGTCGAGGGAGCAGCCCAGGACAGAACCAGCCTTCCTGACTAGTCGCTCTAATCTCTTCCTATCCCGGGCCGAGATGCTGCCTGACCAGCAGACAATGCCATAATGGATGGCCGAGGCCACCACCGAGTTATAGAA